CTTGATGGCTGACCTGCCTCCTGAATTAAAATCCTGCCTTGGATCCTTAATAGACATGTACCATGGGGCAAGTCATTTTGTTCTCTCTGAGGCCGTTTCCTCATCTTGTCAAATGAGATCCCTAGCAGCTCTCTTCCAGCTCTATGATCACATAACTGACTGCTTATTGACTAGGCATCAGAGTCACAACTAGGGTAGGAAGACTGGGGTCTGGGCCTAGGACATCAAAATTTAGGGAGTCCCGACAGCATTTCTACTCCTTCAGTAGCAAAGAAAGAATTCAGCTAAGCATTTGTTTAACAAGGATAATTAATTTTAAAAGGAAGCTACCAGGTGGCATGCTTCCTTCCTCCCTGTGTTCCCTATGGCCACTCATGAGTTGAGCTCCTCCCCCCTGCCCTGTTCTATCCCTCCCCTCTCAATTGACTTTTGTCCTAAAATGTTGATTGGAGGGTGTATTTTACATTATTTGCCTCTGTCACTAAAATTGCTAATTAAGGGTGTAGCTGGCAGCCTGGAGGCACCAAAAGGGCACCAGTGACCTACAAAGGACCTCAAAAAAGGAGGGGTCAGGATACAAATGTCACTTATTTCCCAATGCTGCCTAGGACGGGTTCTTAAGAAGACTAGTGGATTGGACCAAATAATCCAATTCAATGGACTGCCTGATGACCATCCTCCCCTCCCTCCAAAGTTATAAAGCCATTCCATTACTGAAGATGGTTAAACCTTACTGACATAAACCCAAAGAATCAATCTTTGCAGTAGTAGGAGGATGTTAAACAGTGCAGTTGACACCCCAAATTTCTCTCAGAGGACTGCACTTGGTAAAAAAATAAAATTTCTCCACATCTGCTATCTTTTTATAATTAAAAAACCCAAACATTTTCAAATATTTCATGCTTCAGCACAGAAATAATCATAAGACCAAGTAAAAGCAATTCTATTTTGACACTCTTGGCCACCTGCACTGCTTTAAGTCCATTATATTTTTTAAAGCTTTGTTTTATCTCAAAAGAAATGTATCACATTGTTTGGGCATTGCTTTCGTTTTGAAACTAAAACAATACAATAAAAGCCAAGAGTGATAAAATTCTCCCAAAGAAATCACTATCTTCTATGGTCCATCTTAGCTTCGATAGTTATTAAAGAGGTAAAAACTTCAGCTCAGAAATCTCTCTTCCCTCAATGTACAACAAAAACTTGAATTGCTGTAGCACTTTGAGATGGAGAAAGAACCTTCTTCACAGCAGCCCTGTGAGGTGGGGAGGTAGGTAGTGAATGTAAGGATCATAGGTCAAGAATCAGAAGGAATTTAGAGACTGTCTCCTCTACCTCACCCCCATTTTAAAGATGAGGAAACTTGGGCCCAGGGAAATGAAATGATTTGTCTAAGGTGACATAGGTAGTAAGCACCAGAGGAGAGATGTGAACCTGTATCCTTATTTCCATTTTACAGATGAGGAAAATGAAGTCTAGGGAGTCAAAGCAACTTGCCCATGGGCACACAGAAGAGATGGCAGCAGAGAGGAGGGAGAGCTCAGGTGGAAAAGGTAGTGCTAAAAGGGCTAATTGGAGGACACCAAAGATAAACTTAGATGATTTTGCCTCTACTACATTATGACTTTAAACATACATGCTGGCTACCACAAACAAGCAGAGTCCTTTGAAGTACTTTTTAGTTTTATGATTCTGTGGTGATAACCCAATGTTTATTGTGAGATTCATCTGTTAGAGAATGACTGATTCCTGGAGATTTCACAGAGGTTGTTATAGTTGTGACCCCCCTCATCTGCTAAAAGACAGTTTGAAATAAAGGAGATGTGAAGACCAGGTAATGTGGGGCTAAGTGGGAAGGTATGTGGAGTACTGAGCCCTCCACCAGGTGCCTGCTGCCCTGTCATTCCGTTGCCTGAAGCCAATCGTCACTTTTCTGGGCAAGATCTTCCCTCTATGTTATTTTCCTGGTGCTGACTACTGTGCTTCCCCTTGGCTTTTGAAAAACTGCCTAAGAACTGATACAATATTTTTCCTGCCTACTACTTGAATCTGATAACTCTCACACTAATGGATTTCCAGATTTGATTTGAGCGCTGTAGTGGCCGACCACTTTGGTCCAATCTTTTCCTGTCCTGTTGACTTTCTCACACACCCTGGGCTGAGCCTCATCTCTGCTAACCACACCTGCTAGTTCCTAGGCACAAACTGTCCCTACCCCAGCCCTGTAGTAACTAGCAGGACAAAACATTGGGAACTGTCAACACATCATAAGTAAATTAGTTGACTTTATGTCTACCTTCAAGACCTCATCAGGCTGATGTGTCTGCTCACTGCTTTTTATTCCTTTATTTCTTGTTCTGTGGCCTATATTCTATACTTCTCACTTCATCCATTTCTACATATTTCCCAGTTAATGACTCCCTGTCACTTCTGTCCCATTCCTAAAAATTCAATGGAATAAACAGAATTATAAAAATCATCAAAAAAGTAAAACTAACAATTTTCACCTTTTTGTTCTCCTCCCTTTGCATTTGAGACACTTTCCTAAAAGTCTGCCTACTTCAGCATTATTTTTCCTTTAAATTTTCAGATTCTAAGAGGCAGGGACTGTGTGTCATCTTTATGGCAGCAGCTAGGTAGCACAGTGGCACAGTGGACAGAGTGCTGGGCCTGGGTTCAGGAAGACTTTATCTTCCTCCCTTATCTGGCCTCAGATACTTACTAGCTTTGTGACCCTGGGCAAATCATTTAACCCTGTTTGCCTCAGTTTCCTCATTTGTAAAGTGAGCTGGAGAAATGGCAAACCACTCCAGTACCTCTGCCAAGAAAACCCCAGAGTCACAAAGAGTCAAAAATGGCTGAACAACAACAAAAGACAGCCCTGTGTGAAAACGGGGACTAAATAAATACTTTGAAAATGATTATTATTTTTATAATACAGAAGAGAGCAAAAGGGACAAATTTCAGTATGATAAGGCACAGTGAGTGACATAATGGAGAAAGAGCTGGCCTCAGAGTCAAGAAGATCTGCGTTCAAGTCCTGTTTCTGACATATATGGGCTGTGTGACACCGGTCAAGTAACCTAACCTCTCAGCACGCTAGGTAACATTCTAAGATTCTAAGTTACAGAGAAGGTGCTGCTCTGCACTGACAGAGGGAGTACTTATAGCAAGGAAATCGCAGATTCAGACCTTATCCCTACCCTTCTTCTGTTACTGTCAAAGAAGTTAAAATGTCTAATCAGTATGTTATAGTTCATTCTCCATACAAAGAAGTCCAGTAATACTATAGGATGCAATGATATAACAGGTTACAAGCTACATGGGGACAGAGTTCACTGGAGGATGTCAGTTAATATTCACGAAGCACATCAATTAAGTACTTATTAATCACCTATTATGTGTCAGACACTGTTAAGTGCTGGATAAGATGAAGATGTGGATTGAAATAGTGTGGATTGATCTGAAAGGCATTTGGAAGGATGTTCCTCCCCAAAATATCCCCTCCTGTATTAGGACTCAATAAATTCCACCTTTAGATATTAATTCCCTTGAACCTTAAAGGATTTTAGGTATTCAAGAGTCCTCTACTAAAGCATAAATATTTGTATGAGGAATAGAACCCCCGGGGGACTGATTAACTTTAGCCTGGCATAGCTATGTTGATGGATGGATATTTCTGACTCAATCCCTCTCTAGGGTTAGGCTATCCACTCAGTCCTTTTTTCTCTGTGACATGATGTGACTGCTACAATTTCCAAATACTTGTCTCTGATCCCCAAGCTTGTGGGATGGTTGGATTGCAGTAAGAGCTAAAATGACTTCTTGGCATAGACAAATTCCTTGCTTTTCTGAAATGACCCTAGAATATGTGGGTTATCCAGTACTAGAGGAATGGGGATAATATTAAATAAGACAATTTAATTCCCAAAGATACTTGACAGCCCATCTAACATGTCCCCATTGGTAAGCCTTTCAGAAATGATCAATTTTGTGCTATTTCAGGAACAGAAAGCTTGAAAAATTCTGTTTATTTGATCAGTTTTTAAAGGTGCAGAAGCATAGAATGGTGGTGGAATATTATCACAAAGGCATTGCCATCTGCTTATCAGACTTTTAGTTTTGCATAATCAGCAATATTTCTTGAGATGGAATTATAGGATGAGATAGGACTTCCAGAGATTATCTGAATCATATTTGGGACTGAGAGATGATCTATTCCAGTCTAACAGATAAGAATTCACCCAGTCACAAACCTACCATCTTGGTAGGCATGAGTTCCTGGGAATGGACCAGAACTCTCCTGACTCTTAACCCATTCCACTGGAGACCTATTTCAGTGAAGTCCATATTGAATGGTTACATAGAGAAGCACTGGACACCATGGTCAGACTATCTTTTTTCTGGGTAATTAATAATCAATTTATTAATTAGGTTAGATAATAATCAACAAATTGACCAATTCAATTCAGATCTCATAAAAAGTTTTTCAAGCCAACCAACCCTAACCTAAGATCCTGTTTATTTACCTTTTTAATTATAGGTCCCTTATGGAATTGACGTTTAACCAAGAAAACAGTAACTGAGAATTACAGTGATTATTATTGGTGAGCCCTTCTTTAAGAAATCTTGCATATGGGGGAAAAGATCACAGAATGATCACTTATATTACAAAATAATTTGTTTCATTTTATAAAGAGTCCTTATAAGGTTCTTATAAATATTCAAATATGTGTGTGTATTTATTTTGAAGATTGGGGGTGGAAAAGGTTCAGATTTGTGATTTTTGTTAGTGTAGAAAACTTCTAGATTTACTTAAAAATTATTTGTTGGTGATTTAATAAAATAATTGTGTAAAGCAGGGTGAATATGCAACACAAAATGCTATTTTTCCTGAAATTGGAGAGATAACTTCCAAATCTGTCATTAAATCCTTCTCCAACTCCCACCTAAACCAACCAAACCAAAATGTCATCATTTCACTTGATTAGCTTGCTTACCAGCTGTTGACCTTTAGGGCCCCACCCTGCATACTGGAGCTTTGCATTGCTGACTTCTGGAGGATCCAAACTTTGAGGATCTCTGAAAAGAAACACATGGAGAAAATCAGTGGGACTCAAGGATTTTACATGCTTGAACTTCGTTCTCTAGCCAGCATGTGGAGTCCTTTTCCTTCTCTGTGCATCAATTATGAAGCGTTCTGGCTGATTAGTACACAAGATGTCTTACTCCATCTCCTTCACAATTCCTTGCATGTATAAAATGTACAAAAAAAAAAAAAAACCAGAAAGAAGTCCAAAACTCTCTAGCCCAAATGGTAAATATTCATCAAAAGAAAAAAGAAAGCAAGTAAGAATGGCACACTGATCAATTTTTAAACTATCTAGAACAGTCAAAATTAAAAATTGAAGTGTATAGTAGCACCCTGAAGTTCACAATATATCTTTGACATTCCGAGCAAATACTCCTAAACGCAATTGCAAGGTCAATTTAACTTCCTTATATAATGGGTGTCAGTTAAATCTTTTTCAATTCTAAATCCATGCTGCACATGTTTATATTATCTAACATGGAAGTGTGGTGAGTGAAAGATGAAATAACTAAGTTAGTTTTAAGGTTTGAGTTTCTGAGCATATTAATTTATTAAATAAAGCCTGCCAATTGCATAACAAATCAGGATGAGGCTTCTTCAGCTTTGGCGCTGAATCCTAAATACAGAGAGAGACAGATTTTTATGCACTAAAAGATAACAATTAGCAGCACATAAACTAGGATACAAAATTTGGTAATCTAATTTCTAATTGGAGGAAAGATAGGCTTTCCAAGTTATGAGGAGGAGAGTGAAAAGGTACAATTTCTTGATATCAGAAAAAGAGGTGTCCCACTCCAACCCAAGTGTCTGTATTCAAACAATGAAACAGTAACTAATTGACCAGTACAAGGTCACTTTTCAGATGAGACATATGGGTTGCTTGAGATATATAATTGTGAAAAAACTCTTTGCATCAAACTTTGGATCTGACTGGGTTTCTGGTCAGCATAATCTAGGTCCTTAGTTAAGGGTGTCTAAGCAACAGGTAGAGGTGGTCCAGCTTCCCAGCCATGCAAGGCTAAGTTGAAACAACACAATAAAGTTTTCTCACAATTTTCACAATTGAAAAAAAGTTTTTTTTATAAGACAGAAATGGATTAGACTTATAATTGAATAAAAATGAGCTACCTCCAGAATTAAGTTAAAAGATGGAGCCAGTGTGGTTCACTCCATTTCCACAATTCCCTCAGAAGCCACATAGGTGGCAACAGCCTCTTTCCATTGACTGGGTAGCTAGAACAGGCTGCATCTTTAAAACTATGAGATGAGAACAGTCATATTTTCTTTTCTATATGTCTAGAAAGGGTAAAAGTCCTTTTCATCCACAGCTTGGGTGTCATGAACTGACTGCGTGGGAGAAATAGCTTTTATCCCAAGGTATGCAAAAAACCAGTATCTCCATCATGATTCTCCTCTACAATAAATATCACATCTCTCTCTAGAACCTGCCTTTCTTTGTATTTCTAGTACTCAGCACAGTGCTGGGCATAGAGTAGGTACTTACTAAATGCTTTCTGAAAAGTTTATAATAACAGTAATACCGTAAAACAAAAGACTTTGAAAGGTATAAGAACAATGATCAATGCAATGACCGTTCATAATTCCAGAGGACTGAACATGAAATAAGCTACTTAGAAATAAGCTACTTACAGAGAGTTGATTCATTTAGCACACAGAATGAAGCATATATTTTTTGTATATGGCTATTGAGGGAATTTATTTTGCATGACTATGAATGGTTCCTTTTTTTTTTTTTTGTGAGGCAATTGCAGTTAAGTGACTTGCCCAGAGTCACACAGCTAGGAAGTATTATGTGTCTGAGGTCAGATTTGAACTCAGGTCCTCCTGACTCCAGGGCCGGTGCTCTATCTACTATGCTACCTAGCTGCCCCTGAATGTTTTTCATAAGAAGTTTGGTTTTATTTTCTTTTTAAAAAATGAGTTGGGAAAAAAAAAGAGTTGGGTTTAGAGATCCAGCCGTGGAGTCAGGAGGACCTGAGTTCAAATCGGGCCTCAGACACTTGACACGTACTAGCTGGGTGACCCTGGGCAAGTCACTTAACCCCACTTCCTAGCCAAAAAGCAAAAAAAATAATGAGTTGGGAGTGGGAAGCAGAGAACATACATTTCTTTTCATTTTCAAATGAGGTCACTATTATTAGTTTTACTTAATTGTTTTACTCTATTATCAGAGACCTCTTAAAAAGCAAGAGTAATCTGTAAATGCTAATAATGTTAAAACAAAACCCATCAATATAACTTAAAAAAAATGTTTGTTGACTTGACATGGCATTCCAAGTGATAAGGCCATTGAGTATAATATTCCATAGAATAGAGATAGGTGTTTATTAAAGACATTTAGGTTGAATTATGGGAGATGCCAATTGGAAAAAACTCACCATCATACTTCCATTATTAGTTAAGGATAGCGCTTTATGAAAGAAGTTGCATTTTAAGAGCTGAAAGGCTATTTTTAGGTACTATATGTAGTTCAGGAGAATACTCAGAGACACAGATTTTTAAAATGCACAAGAAAGATGTTTATAGTTGAATCCATTTTTTTTTTTTGGCAGAAGTAGAACAGATTAGTTTAGGAGCAGAAGGAAATGAGAAACGTGTGATAGTCCAGGGTACACTGGTGAAAGATACTGAGGAGGTGAAGACTCTAGTCTTTCACCATGGCATATATTAAGGAGAGGAGAATGGTATGATCAAAATTACATGATTAAAATCTAGTGGGTGGTGCTAGAGTTGAAGAGTTTCAGTAAAAATAATTTGTAATGGTCAAGTGTAACATTGTGAAAAGGGCAATAAACTGGAAATCAGGATTTATAAGCTCAGATCTGCCACTAACTTGCTGCATAACCTCGGGCATGTTTCTCTAGGCCTCAACAATTAGTCAATATGCATTCATTAAGCACCTACTAGATAGAGTGTCAGGCCTAGAGTCAGGAAGACCCCTCTTCTGGAGTTCAAATCTAGTCCTCAGACACTTAGTAGCTTTGTGACCCTGGGAAAATCCCTTAATCCTATTTGCCTCAGTTTCTTCATCTGTAAAATAAGCTGGAGAAGGAAATGGCAAACTATCCCAGTATTTTTGCCATGAAAACCCCAAATGGAGTCATGCAGAGTCAGACAAAACTGGAAATGACTGAACAACAACAAATCCCAGACATTTGAGGTAAAAACATAAAAGTGAGGAGGTGGAGTAAAGGCAGGAACTCACCTGAGCTCTCCCCCAAGTCCCTCCAAATACCTTTAAAAATGACTCTAAACAAATTCTAGAGCAGCAGAACCCACAAAAAGATGGAGTGAAAGAAATTTCCAGCTCAAGACAACTTGGAAGGTCACAGAAAAGGTTTGTCACACTTGGGTGGGAATGGAGCACAGACCAGTGTAGGCTGTGTCAACACAGCCCTGGCCCCAGCAAACTGGGAGCAGGCCTTGGGAGTGACTGAATCTGCAGCAGCAGCTTCCAGGGCTCTCAGCCCACAGATCATAAGGGGATTGAACAACTGGTCAGAAGAAGATTACAGAGTTCTTTTTGTTAGCACTGAGGCAGGACTCTGTTGCTTTGACCATGCTTAGATCTGAGTCACAGTCCTATGTGATAGTCCCAGGGCAAGGAGGAGCACTAGCATAACACAGCTTGCAGCCACAGTGGAGGGGGGACCCTCCTCACATTTCCAGGGCAGAAAAGAGTGCTTGTGGTCATTCACAGACTAGAGCACAGCCAGGATAGTAGTAAACACCTCTCCTTAGATCATACCACCTTGGAAGAGCTGAAGGACCCTAGAAGTATCTCTGAAAATAGCTGCACAAAACCCCTGAAGCTTGGCACAATGCACTCTCTATCCTGGAAGCACAGTCCTACTTTAACAAAGAGTTAAAAGGAAAGTAATAAGCTGGGAAAATGAGCAAGCAACAGAAAAAAAAAACCAAACCTGTGACTATAGAAAGTTACTATGGTGACAAGGAAAATCAAAACACACATGCAGAAGAAGACAATGAAGTCAAAGTTCCTACATCCAAAGCCTCCAAGAAAAATATTAATTGGTCTCAGGCCATGGAAGAGCTCAAAAAGGATTTTGAAAATCAAGTAAGAGACATAGAGGAAAAATTGGGAAGAGAAATTAGAATGATGCAAGAAAATCATGAAAAGTTAGTCAACAACTTGGCAAAGGAGACACAAAATTACTGAAGAAAATAACTCCTTAAAAAACAGACTAGGCAAAATAGTAAAAGAGGTCCAAAAAGCCAATGAGGAGAAGAATGCCTTAAAAAGCATAACTGGCCAAATGGAAAAGGAGATCCAAAAGCTCACCAAAGAAAATAATTCCTTAAAAATTAGAATGGAGCAAATGGAAGCTAATAACTTTATAAGAAATCAGGAAACAATAAAACAAAACAAAAAGAATGAAAAAATAGAAGACAGTGTGAAATATCTTATTAGAAAAACAATTTACTTGGAAAATAGATCCAGGAGAGATAATTTAAAAATTATTGTACTACCTGAAAGCCATGATGAGAAAAAGAGCTTAGATATCATCTTTTAAGAAATTATCAAGGAAAACTGCCCTGATAGTCTCAAATCAGGAGGTAAAATAGAAATTGAAAGAATCCACTGATCACTTCCTGAAAGAGATCCCAAAATGAAAACTGCCAGGAATATTATAGCCAAATTCCAGAGTTCCCAGGTCAAGGAGAAAATTTTGCAAGCAGCCAGAAAGAAACAATTCAAGTATTGTAGAGCCACAGTCAGGATAACACAAGATTTAACAGCTTCTACATTAAAGGATCAGAGGGCTTGCAATGTGATATTCTGGAGGTCAAAGGAGCTAGGATTACTTCCAAGAATCACCTACCCAGCAAAACCAAGTATAATCCTTCAGAGGAAAAAATGGATATTCAATGAGATAGAGGACTTTCAAGCATTCTTGATGAAAAGACCAGAGTTGAATAGAAAATTTGACTTTCAAATAGAAGACTC